GCTAACCCAGGCCTTTTTTTAAATTAGCAACACAGAGTCGTCACCATGGCATTGGGGGTTGCTTGCAACCCACTGCAGTGGCCGTAACCATATCAGTATTGTGCTGCCACCTACTTTATTATATAGTTGAGCTCAAGCACTGCTCTCTGTTACCGTGTGGCGTTGGTTTGTATATCATCTCCCTCGAGTAGAAAGCAGAATAAAGTTGTGTTGCAGTGTAATACAAGTCGTTTATATATATATATATATATAATACTTGTCTTAGCAACACAGAAGTGATACAGCGCGACGTGTGATGATGACGTGGGCGCGCACGCGCATGTGTCTGTGAGCCACTGTGCTGTGAACTCACCTGGGATGGTGTTGTCGAGGATAAATCCGAGCACGCCACCGACGAACATGCCCGTGCTGAGCAGCACGTACAGAATCTGGTCGAACGCGGCGTTCCCTGCGATTATGAAGCAAATATATATAGCTGTAGGCTTGGCTAGCTGTAACTTTAAATGCGCTTAGAAAAAGTTGCAGTCACGCTCACATATGGTGTTACTATTATCAGTTATTATTTACAGTAATCGGGGGTTGATAACGATATAATGTCATAATGTTAATTAATTAACCCCTGCTATTATAATGCATACAATTTGCAATTTGCATACAATGTTGTTGTTTTTTTGGTTGTTTTTTTTGGTTGTGTTGGTTTTGTCAACCATGTCTATAGGCTTAGACATCGTTCACGTCAAATGTGCCACTAAGAAATGTAAGAATTTGTGGTCATGCTCACTTGGCATGCCTGGTATTACTGCTAACTGCATATACTAGCTAGATAGCGCACCTATGTTGTTGCGTGCAATCAAGTTTAAATGCGTTTATATTGTATGCAAGCATTTGTCTTTTAATATTGCATGCATCATGCCGGGGGTTAATCATGACAAATTTGTCATTGTTAACCCCTGATCCCGATGAGACGTTAATTTAACTACAGTATCGTCTGCTAGTGCTTACCGGTACGGAGTGCATCTGTGTTGCTCTTCAGCCACTCTGGAAGAACGAGACCCATGAAGAGTGAGAATCCGAGAATAGACATGTTTCGCGTGGAGTTCATGTCAACGTACTGCAGATTCGAAATACCTGAAACAATCGATGAAAGCAATGACGACAGGTTGCAGAGAAGCCGCTGATAATGAAAACAGCTTGTCCATTGACGAGATAAGCTCGCGATAATGCAGACGCAAAATGTCGCACGATTATGTTTAACGTGAGTCCTTACCAAGTTAAAAAATCGTCCCAGTGAAAAAAATTTACTTGGCAGCAACGAAAATGAAAATGACTTTATCGCAATTAGTTGCTTAAATTTTTTACGCACAAGTAACAATTTATCGTACCCACGGCACTTCGTCGCCAAGCATTCGTCTTTAAACGTCCTAAGGGGGGGGGGGGGGGGGAGGGGGGGGGGGGGGGGGGGGGGGGGGGGGGGGGGGGGACAAAATGACTGGCACAGTAATAGTATATTATATATATATATTACTATATATAATAACACACACACTCAAGAGCTAATATCCCCTTATATGTAATAAGATTATTATAATTGATTATTATTAATTAGCTTTGATATATATATATATATCAGGAGTGTATAATAGGGACTATTATCCCTATTATACACTCGCTGATATATATATATATATATTGTAATTTGAATTTACGCGATCTTGCCGATATATATCCCGTGGGGCGACAGCGGGGTGTGCGGCCCCCCCCAGTGGCGTAGTTAGGGGGGCAAAGGGGCCATGGCCCCCCCCTGTTGATCCGAAAGTAAAAAAAAAGAGAAAAGAAAGAATTGTTCTACTAAAAAGAGAATTGTCGTAGTCAGAATGAAGGCTGTACATGTACTCAAAGTGCCTCAAACACCATCTCTGCGATTACATTTTCAAATTTTCGGGGTGAGACCCCCATACCCCCCGCCTGTGTTTCACCCCCCCTCCTCGTAATCCTGATCCGCCGCTGACCAGTTTACGTATTAGGAGCAGAGAACAACGACACAATGTCGCCTTTTTACATGGCGCAACCAAGATTGCACCATTAAAATATTAAGTCATCACTATTTTGCGAGTTGTCTGTTTTTGGCCCCTGCTTAAAAAATCCTGGCTACTCCACTGGTGCCCCCCCCCTCCTGGGGGGGGTCTGTGGCCCCCGGGCGGCGGGGCGATGGCGTGCGACCCCCGGGGAGGGAGGTGGCACACCTGGGGGGAGGTCAAGGTTACGCACCTACGGCGGTGAATGCAGCAAACATGACGGCAGAAGACTCCGCCGATGATCGGGTCTGGCATCGTGACGAAGAGCGCTCCGAACTTGCTGAGCATGCCAAGCAGTATCATGATGACTGCTGCTGTCTGCACCACCAGCCTGCTGCCCACCTACACCACCGACAGTAACAACAACATCATGATGACTGCTGCTGTCTGCACCACCAGCCTGCTGCCGCCACCTACACCACCCCGACAGTAACACACACATCATGATGTACTGCTGCTGTCTGCACCACCAGCCTGCTGCCACCTAACACCGCGACAGTAACCAACAACAACATGATGACTGCTGCTGTCATGCACCACGTCAGCCTGCACCCCCACTACAGCCACCGACAGTACAACAACATCATCATGATGATGCTGCTGGCTGTCTGCACCACCAGCCTGCTACCAACCTACACCACCGACAGTAAACAACAATCATCATGATGACTGCTGCTGTCTGCACCACCAGCCTGCTACCGACTACAGCCACGCGACCGTAACAACAACATCATGATGACTGGCTGCTGCACCACAGCCTGCTGCCCACCTACACCACCGACAGTAACAACAACCAACATGAGAACTGCTGCTGTCTGCACCACCAGCCTGCTACCACACTACACCACCGACAGTAATAACATCATCATGATGATGACTGCTGCTGTCTGCACCACCCAGCCTGCTACCCACCTACACCACCGACAGTAACAACAACATCATGATAGCTGCGTGCTGTCTGCACCACCAGCCGTGCGCCCACCTACACCACCGAAGTAACAACAACATCATGATGACTGTGCTGTCTGCACACCAGCCTGCTACCAGCCGCCCGCCCCCGACCTAGCTAACCACACCACGAGTAAGCCACATCATGATGACTGCTGCTGTCTGCACCACCAGCCTGCTACCCACCTACACCACCGACAGTAACAACAACAACATCATGATGACTGCTGCTGTCTGCACCACCAGCCTGCTGCCCACCTACACCACCGACAGTAACAACAACAACATGATGACTGCTGCTGTCGGCACACCAGCCTGCTCCCCACCACCCCACCGACAGTAACAACAAGCATCACATGATGACTGCTGCTGCTGTCTGCACCAAGCAGCTGCTGCCCACCTACACCACCGACAGTAAACAACAACATCATGATGACTGCTGCCTGCTGTCGGGCACACACGCAGCCTGCTGCCCACCTACACCACCGACAGTAACAACAACATCATGATGACTGCTGCTGTCTGCACACGACCTGCTGCCCACCTACACCACCGACAGTAACAACAACATCATGATGACTGCTGCTGTCTGCACCACCAGCCTGCTACCCACCTACACCACCGACAGTAACAACAACATCATGATGACTGCTGCTGTCTGCCACCACCTAGTCCTGCTGCCCACCTTACACCACGACCAGTAACAACAACATCATGATGACTGCTGGCTGTCATGACACACCAGCCTGCTGCCCACCTACAGCCACCGACAGTAACAACACAACAACATGATGACTGCTGCTGTCTGCACCACCGCCTGTACGCACCCTACCCAGCGCGACAGTAACAACAACATCATGATGACTGCTTGCGTGTCTGCACCATCAGCTCTGCTGACACTCACACCACCGACAGTAACAACAACCCATGATGCACTGACTGGCTGTCTGCACCACCAGCCTGCTACCCACTACACGCATCGACGGAGTAACAACAAATCATGATGACTGCTGGCTGGTCGTGCCACCACCAGCCCTGCTAGCCCACCTACAGCCACGGACAGTAACAAGCAGCCCATGATGATGATTGACTGCTGGCTGCGTCTTCGCACCAGCTGCTGCCGACCTACACCACCGACAGTACAACAACATCAATCATGACTGTCTCCTGTCTGCACCACCAGCCTGCTGGCCGACTACACCACCGACAGTACACAACACATGCAATGGACGTGCTGCTGTCTGCACCACAGCTGCTGGCCCACCTACACCACGACCAGATAAAACAACAAACAACATGGATGACTCGTGCTGTTGCACCACCAGCCTGCTGCCACCTACACACGCACAGTGAACACCAACATCATGATGACTGCTGCTGTCTGCACCAGCCAGCCTCACCCACCTACCCACGACAGTAACAACAACATCATGATGACTGCTGCTGTCTGCACCACCAGCCTGCTCCCACCTACACCACGACCACTAACAACAACATATTGATGACTGGCTGCTGTCTGCACGCACAGCCTGCTTGCCCACCTACCCACCGACAGTAACAACAATCATGATGACTGCTGTGTGTCTGCACCAGCCAGCTTCTGCTGCCACGGTTCTACACCACCGACAGTAACAACAACATCATTGACTCGACTGCCTGGCTGTCTGGGCAACACCAGCCTTTGCTCCCACCTACACCACCGACAGTAACAACAACATCATGGATGACTCGCTCTGTCTGCGACACCAGCCTGCTGCGGCCACCTACACCACCGACCAGTACAACAACAGCATGATGACTGCTGCTGTCTGCACCCCAGGCCTTGCTGACCCCTATCACCACCGACAGTAACAACAACATCATTGATGGATGCTGCTGTCTGCACGACCAGCCTGCCCTACCCACCTACACCCCGACAGATAACAAAAACATCATGTGACTGCTGGCTGGCTGTCTGGCACACCCAGCCTGCTGCCCACCACACCACCGCACGGTCAACAACACATCAGTGATGACTGCTGCTGTCGGCCACACACAGCCTGCTGCCCACCTACACCACGACAGCAGGGAACAATTTCCAGCCACAAAATTGTGCATAGCAAGAATGCTGCGATTACAAAATACATTATGCTGCATAGAATTGGATAAATTTGATATGGGCATTTACTAGACAATACAGTGCAATTTTACACGCGCAGTGCAGCTTGGCGTAGTTATCGTGTCGGCCTGTGACAGGCATGACGGGGGCGGAAGCGTAGTTTAAGCCTAGGACACACTAGCGATTTCTGTACGCTTGCCCGCCAGCGATTTAAACATCCGTGCGAGCCTTGACACCGCCCGCTCGCCAAATGTCGAGTGAAATAATATCGGCGCGGGCGAGTGAAAGCTAAAGCTGGGACTTCGCGGCCATGTTGGCAAGTAAAAATAATTGTCTAAAACTTTAATCAATATGTTGTTCCTTACGTTATATATCAAAACACTTGATGAAATACATTCTAGGCGATTTGAATGTGAAGGGCAGGCTATCGCGACTCCTCGACGCACGACATCACATCCCTCCTTTATATATCAAGGTCGCCGAAAAGCCAGCCGCGCGAGGCGATGCAGCGCCAGCACAGAGCGGGCTGTGGTATACGTGCTGGGGCGGCATATTGATTATGTACGGGGAGGGGGGGGGAGCTGCAGGATTGTCTTATAAAAGTCACGTTGGCTTGTGTTTAAAAGGTCATAAAAACGGGTAACGTGGCATTCATTGAGCGGCAAAAGTCAGCCGAAATAAAAGTACTATGTAAACACGTATGTTTCCGCTTTACACTCGCATTGGCTGCATCGCACAACCTCGATTCATAAAAGATAGCGTAGGCAAAATGGCTGAAATACATCGCGAATTCGCCGATGCGATTACCGGGAAAGATTATTCCTGGACAGCTAAGAACAACATCATCATGAATGATCTGCTGACTGTATGCACCCACCAGCTGCTGCCCACGCTACACGCACCGACGTAAAACACATCATGATGATCGCTGCTTTCTGCACCCACTGCTGCCCACCTACACCACGACGAACAACACAAATGATGATAAGCTGCGCTGTCTGCGACCAACCAGCCTGCTGCCCACCAGCTACACCACCGACCGAGTAAGCAACAACAATCATACAATGATGAACTGGCTGTCTGCCACCAACCAGCTGCTGCCACCTCACCCACCACAGTAAACAACACACAACATCGCATGACTGCTGCTGTCTGCACCACCAGCCTGCTGCCCACCTACCACACCGACAGTAACAACAACATGATGATGCGTGCTGCTCTGCACCACCAGGCTGCTGCCTACACCAACCGACAGTAAACACACAGACATCATGATGACTGCTGCTGTCATGCACCACCAGCCTGCTGCCCGCACTCTACCCCACCGCAGTAAGCAACAACATGACCTGATAGTGCTGCTGCTGCTCTGACCACAGCAGCCTGTACCCACCTACACCACGCACAGTAACAAACTCATTCATGATGACTGCGCTGCTGGTCTGCCACCACAGCCTGCTACCCACCTACACCACCGACACTAACAAAACACATGATGACGCCGGCTGCTGTCGCACCACCAGCGCTGCTGCCCACCGACACCACCCGACAGAACAACAACATCATGCAGATGCTGCGGTTCTGCCACACCAGGCCTGCTGCCCGACCTAAACCCCACGACAGCAGCGAACTTTCCAGCCAAACATTGCATAGCAAATGTGCGATAAAAATACATTTTGCATTCGCAATTGGATAAATTTGTAAGAATTTTTCAAGACAATCACAGTGCAAATTTACACCGAGTGCTTGCTGGCGTGTATTTCGTGTCGGCCTGTTGACCAGGCACAGCTAGTTTAAGAACCTAGGACACACTAGCGTTCTGTACGCTGCCGGCAGCGTTTAAACAGCGTGCGAGCTTGGACACGCCGCTCGCCAATGTCCGATGTGAAAATAAATCGGGCCGGGCGA